GGACGCTGCCGTCAATAGAAAGGAATAGGGGGAAAGACTTACACGTTCTCCTGGCGAGACCTCAAATCATCTTCGTAATATCTATCAAACTATAGATCCACATCCACTGGACGTGGATTCTAAAAGTACAATATACACTTCTCGCTAGAAATCTAATCAAAACGCATTTTAATGGCCAAACTATCCTACAATTTAGGATTTTCCAGAGAGGGTTATTAGTAATTATAAAACGGACAAGTCAAATCAAGCAATCTGATTGGTTCTTAGCCGTGATATACTGAGCGTATACCATGGGTAGAATTGTAAGTTACTTTTCACAACAAGTCAGTATCCCTCCGCGTCTACGAAAAACAGTATACCGATGGGCTGAAAAGCAAACTGCCTGCAGCTAAGGGGGTTGTCGACCCTCCGCTTCGCGTCGGGCCGAACCACGCCCCTTAGCTGTGATATAATGAGCATATACCACGGCCTGTCGTGAGCTATTGCTTAAATATATGTGTGTGTAAGAGTGTGTGTGTGTGTGTGTAAGAGTGTGTGTGTGTGTGTGTGTGTGTCCGCATATGTAGCCTGTTATTGTCTCATTATACCGCACTGTGAATGAATCAAAGTAAATATATAAGTCGAGTCGTCATGACACATCTTTCCATCCAGACAGAGGCTGCTGATGCTCCTGTCATTATTAATGGACGTCTCTTTAAAATGACCGCTCAGAGGAGAGGAGTTCTCATTTCTCTAACCGCCTGCTGCTTCCCCTCCTCTCCCCTCCTCGGCTCCTCGGCTCGCATCTCCTGTGGGTGGGACTAAGTCTCGAGGATAGGAGTCGAGGATAGGAGTCGAGGAGGGGAGTTAGAGAAATGAGAAAGGGCCCATGTGTTGGAGGGCTAGCCAATATAAGCGCAATCGTTACATAAAGATGCCATTATGTTACAGAAGTAAACAAAGGAGCCAATGAAGGCGTTTCAGGCGAGTGTGGGGAGGGGTGGGCAGGAGAAACTCACTCTGGAGGGAACTTTGGGATGTTGAGACATACACAGAAACCTATATTACAAACTACAGGAGAGGGAAAACTCAAAAAAGCATAATAGGGCCTGTTTAAATTACCATACTTCATTTTTTTCACCATAATACCATTTAAAGAAAATTATGATTATGTCTCATTATCCCAACTTTGTGAAAAAAGTCATCATCTATGGAGACTTATTTATTTCCTGCTGTCATTAGCATCTCAACCCTGCTGCATTTCTGCATTACCTCCGATAACGATATCACTATTGCCTCGGAACAACTGCTGCTGGCTGCCTGAAGTATGAATGCATTTAAGAGGCCTGTTTCCGTGCTACAAAGGTTTGAAATGTGTTTTGAATTTAAGAGAAATCACATTTGATTATTGCCTCGCAGCGCACCACCGCTAGATCAATCATAAATGGCAGTGTGAACAACAAACAAACATGGAGCCTCAGTAGTTGAGCTGAGGGGAGGGGAAAGCTAATAAAGAAAGATTTTAAAGCAATTGTTCTGTGATTGAAGTGCAGCGCTCCCCAGCCTCAGGCTATCAAATAAAGTCTGATCCCTCTTCCTCAATAACTCCCAAAATCTTTTAATGAGACCAAATCCTTTTAACTCATACTGCCGGAGTTATGAATATATCTGTGTATATGTGTTAGCCAGTTTGTGTGTGTGTTTGCACAGGAGAGCTGAGAGCCGTTTCCCCCTTCTGTCGGGGTGGAAAGAAGAGCAGCAGTTTCCTCTGGAGGAGAAATCACATCAAAGACATCAAAAGACCAAAATCACTGAGCGTAAATATCAGGCCGAATGAGTATCATCTCACAAGACCAATGAGAGTGTGCGAACCGCTGCTGGGATAAACCAAATATACCACCTCAGAGATTATTAAAGCTGAACTGCAGATGACCTATAAATGAGAAACACTATTTGTTCAATTTATTGCACCTGACAGACTTAGAGGTTTAATTAAGCAATGGCTTCAGTCTCAGAAGTAAACGTATGACCTCAGTGTGACTGGGACATAACATTTTAATTCGTTTTTTAACTCCCTTTTTATATGCTTATATTCCAGCCTGGTAATCTTATTAATAAAAGGTGATTTAATTTCACAGCAAAGATAAACTGAGTGCCAGTAACTACAGATAATTTATCTGCAGAGGAAAATGGTTACTTATTAGGCATCGTTGAGCCCTAAAATAACCAAATAAACACC